ATTTCATGGGAAAATCAAGTCTGTTTGTAAAGATGCAATTTAACTCAAAAGAATGACCTTTCTGCATAAATCACAGATATTAGATTGTTGGTTTTTCAGATTATCTTCTGCTTCTTTTTCTAAATATGGATGCATGTACTTATGATGGGGAAGAAATCTTTTTAACGCTCTTGATGAGTTGTTCTCCAATTCATCAAGATTCTATTGTATTGTTACTTTTTTGTTTTTCTTTTCTAAATTGTTTTGTGATGTTTGTGTTTCATAATGCTGATTTAAAACATTTTATGATTCTTTTATTCACATAGTATACAAAATAATACCAAAAAACACACAGGCAGTGGAAAATGTAGAAGGAATGTATCATGCATACGTTTGATGAAGCAAATCAATGATTGCTAATATCTCCTGATACCATCATTTTAAGGAAAGCCTCTGTACCTTGAGTCTGACAGCAGACCTAATTTATACTGGCCAGGGTTTCTCAACCTTTCTACTGTGTACATGTTGGACATTTCTTTACTTTGGGGGTGGTGGGACACTGTTTTGTGCATTACAGCATACAGGATATGAAACTCATGTCTGTCCTCTATGCACTAGATGTCAGTAGCAAACCCTCCCAGAGGCATGAGAGCCAAAAATGTGCCAGACAAATGTCTCTTTTGGACATAAAAGCACCTCTGAGAATCGGTACCCTTTATTAATTCTGTCCCATCGTACCCCAGAATCAAAGACTATTTTTACCACAGTCAAGTTATTTCTGCTACCCAGAAACATTTGGTCAGTTTCAAATTCGCTTACATTTATAAAACTGAAAGAAAATTTGAAGTCATCCATTTAAATCTTTAAGTGAAAATTCCTAGGATGACCACTCAAAAGACTGTATCCAGAAAGTTTTAAAGTGAGTCATTCATTTATGAGATAAACAGTCAGCAAGGAAAAATGCCAACCTGGAACACACATTCAAGAGCTGTGGAACAGCCAACACTCTTCTCTAGGCGGTGCTGGTGGGCTTTAGTGCAAACCTAGTGCTTGTTTATCACTTCGTGGCCTATGTCTCGAGGGTCACACATGGAAGTGACGTGTGTGTGTGGTCTGGTATTCTTACACCTTTATTCTTGCACTCATATTCTAGTAATGTTTTGCTCCTCACAGATTGTTTTTTAAAGACTAGATCTTAAAATCCAGAGGACAATTTTTTTCCACAATGATACAATAATTACATGAGTTGGGTAGTTTTACAACTTCTTATTGAACTCACAACATACATTATTCAATTATTCTCCAGGTTGACAAATATTTATTCAGTTACACTTAAGTGCCAGGTATTATCATGGATAGCAGGAACATGAAAGTTAATACAGCAGACAATTTATTCATGAATCTAGCTAATTAAGTATAGGGTCTTGATCTGGGATTCCTAGGATCTCTGTAACCTGACAGTGGATAAGAAATAAATGTGTGTAACGTACCCTCATCTTTAATTCAGGGGTTAACTGTAAATCACACCTTAACTGTAGCCATTGGGCCTAGTCCAGCCTACTGCCTGTTTTTTATATGACTGGCGAGCTCAGAATGGTTTCTCCATTTTCAAATAGTTGAAACAAAGCAAAAGACAAATATTCTATAATTTGAAAAATGAAATGAGACTCGAGTTTTAGTGTCCAGGAGTCAAGTTTTATTGGAACTTTTGTTTATGTCTGGTTTATGGCTGTTTTTATGCTGCATTGGCAGAGTTCAGTGGTTGCAACATGTACCATATGACCCACAAGCCTAAGTGTTTACTATATAGAAGTCACTATGATTCTGTTCTGCAGCAGTAGTGCTTCCAGAGTTCTTCTCTTGGGACCACTCCAAATGAAATTATTGCTGATTGTGTCTGTCAATCATGTAACAATACTGAAGCACTAGGATCCCAGAAAATCTGACGTGGGAATCAATGCACTAAAGTCTAACTCTAACTTCCTTTTGGTGGCTCAAGGGGAGAACCTGGGCCTAGCCTTTGTTGTCTTTAAAAGTCAACTATGTTCCTTGGTTCAGGATTACATTTTCATCCTTGTGTGTGTATGTCTGTCTGTCTGTCTTTCTCTCTCACTGTCTCTCTCTGTCTTTCTCACTCTCTCTCTCACACACACACTTCTTGGATTATGTACTACATTTCCTTCTCTGATCATGCCACTCAGCCCCTCTTCAATATGAATTATGATTGGGTCAGAATCATTGGAATAATCTTCAAGGGCCCCATTTCAGGTTCCCTTATCTTGATGGAATTTATCACGCTCCTTTCACTATGTAACATTCACAGTTTCTGGGTGAAGGGCACGATCATCTTTGAGTTATACTTTGTACCCAGTTACTTTGTACTGTACTTATCTCTAACTCAGTAGAACACATAGCCAAAGGGCCCTTCTCATGCTTGGAACCACCAGTGAGTTAGATATAAAGGTTTTAGACTCATGGAATACTATGCAACCATAAGGAAAGTTGAAATCTTCCCCATTGCTACAATTTACTTAGGACTGGAGAGGGTTATGCTAAATTAAGTAAGTCAGAGTGGGTAAGATAAATTCCAGATGATCTCACTCACCTGTGATATAGAGAGAAACAAGACAAGGCAGTGAATGGTATCGAATCCTTGGCCCTGGATAACTGAATCGAGAATTCCAAGTAAGGGTAGAGGGGTATGATGTGGTAGACTGCATGCAGCATTTGATGAGAGTCTTGGCCATTTTGGTAGTGCTGAAGAGAGGTAATATCAAAACAATAAGCATTAACACAATGTGTTAATCTTCTCACTCAATTTATGTTTAAATTTTTAAGTAGATTCCCTAAGTAGGAGGATGAGGTGATAGAAGATCTTCAGATATTGGTGAAGGAATGCTGACAGTGGGTTGAAATGTGGAATTGGAACACAGTATGCCTGAAAGTATTATTAATAGTATTGTAAATCACAGTATCTAAATCTAAATTAAATTTAGATATTAAAAAGTCCCAGACACAAACTTACACAGATTAAGATGCCTGAGCATATGTAGAAGCTCTTTGTGAACTTGCCTAATCACCTACCTACTCTGTGCACTTTCTTTGGGAACTCAGCCTAGAGACTCTACCCTCTGCTGCAGTAATCTCAAGACGGAGATGAGACAGGACAGAAACGGATTTATTTTAGACTTCTGGATTCTTAATTATGAAGACTTAAATTGGAATCTTGTGATAATTTGAATAGGCATTGGGCAAATCTTTTGAGAAAGGGCTCCTTTTAGCAAGTTAATTTCAAAAGATCATGTGGATTAAAGATTATTCGACCAAGTGAGTCATCGTGACCCAACACTTAGTTATCACATGGCTTAAAAGCTGCACAACTAAAGTTTTATGAGTATTTATAAGACCAGAACCCAGCATTTCTATCTTGCTGAGGAAACAATTGGTACTCTTCAAAGATGTACGTTGGACAGAATTGTGAATCTGGGAAGTCGTTGTCAAGAAAGGGATGATACCTTTCCAAGGGCTGTGAAGGATGTTTCCCAAGCTCTCCCTTTTGCCCTGTATGCAGGGAGGGGAGAGCCATCTGTTGTCCATACTACACGGGAGGTATGCACATGCTCTTTCTCATGTGCTCTGGAGAATGGGAACCTTGACTTTGATTCTATTTTAGCAGAAAATGTCTCTATACCTATGTGTCCTTCTTAGTGATCACATCTTTGCACTTATTGTGATGCAACTACCTCAGAGTATAGAGTACTGTAGTCATTGCACTGTTGCACTGTCCTCCCATTGCTCATCAATTTGCCCGAGAGGGCCCAATAACGTCCTCATTGTGAGACTTGTTGTTATTGTGTTTGGCATATCAAATACGTCACAGGTAGCTTGCCAGGCTTTGCTGTGTGGGCGAGATACTTTACTCTTGGTAGCTTGCCGGGCTCTCCGAGAGGGGTGGAGGAATCAAACTCAGTTCGGCCGGGTTGACCACCACGTGCAAGGCAAACGCCCTACCTGCTGTGCTATATAGTACTATATGATGTATTTTAGTACTATAGTACATTATATACTACAATGACTATAGAGCACCATAGTCATTCAATATTTACCATTTAAGTGAGGAATTTAAGGGTTCAAAGTTCATATTGTCAATCTCCATATTGTCTAAATTTTGAATGTCTTATCATTTGGGGAAATTACTTGCCTCAATTTCATCATCATTATTATATTATTACGATATTATTACTATTGTGACCTATATTACTATAATAATATGCATCATAAAATACTAAAGTACCTCAGCATATATTATATGCTGGCATATAGTCTGTTCTATGATTGTTTAAAATTATCATATTCCTAAATTCTTTGTAAGATAGGTTCAAAATGGTAACCACGTCATGAGGCTGTTGGAAGCAATAACTGCAACGTCTTTGGCACAGCCATGGTGCGCAGTACACCAACAACACCTATTCATTCTCCTAGATCTGTGATCACAGGAATTTTTTTTTCCCAAAAAATCACGATCACAATCATCCTGTTGTTCGTCAATTGCCTTGAGCAGGCACCAGTAACATCTCCTTCTTCCTAGCCCTGATATTTTAAAAGAGCCATATTCAATGCTCTTTCAGGGCTAGGAGAATGAGACCTATCATTGTTACTGGTATTTGGCATATTGAGTACGACACGGGAAGTTTGCCAGACTCTGCCGTGTGGGCAGGATACTTTCGGTAGCCTGCCGGGATCTCCAAAATAAAGCATTTGTGGCCGCGTGCTTCTGGGAGCTGGGTTTTATAGTCTCCTAAAAAATAAAGTAAAAATTTCCCATGAAATGTGTTTTGATATCGTTTCCTTTGGCCTAAGTCCACATCATTCTATGGGACCAGATGATAGTACTAAGGCCCAAGGAATTCGTGTTCAGGGAACACACCCATGAAGCCTGCTTGCCCCTCCCCAACTGAGAAGGATGAGGCTTGTGAAAAGTGCACGAACCGTATAACACTATTTTTCCCCTTGGCTCGCAGGGTGATTTTACCTGGAACAGCATGTCGGGCCGCTCTGTGCAGCTGAAGTCCGTCCCCATCCAGAGCCTCTCTGAGCTGGAGCGAGCTCGTCTTCAGGAAGTGGCGTTTACTCAGTTGCAGCAGGGCTGTGACCTGAGCTGCCAAATCACCATTCCTAAAGGTAAGGGTTTTGTCTGTGCTCCCATCTGGGAAGGCTGCAAGACAAACATCTGCCCTGCCAGGGCACCAGCTGCAAAGCCATCTCACACCTCAGGTTAACACAGGAAGGAAATGGTTGCTGGCTGGCATTCCTGTCCATTTTGAAAGACATGCAGACAATTTGCATGTCAATTAATATGTTCATTTCAAGGAAGGTCAACTTGGAACATGCAAAAGAAAGCCATGTGTACCTCAGCAGGCTAACATGGCTTCAGAATAACCGATGAGACATAATTTTCAGAATGCTCAGCTGGAAAGGTTAGGAGACAGAACTTGTCTCTCAACAGGAGTTCCAAATTACCAGTTGAAAACATTGTTTCAACTGTCTGTTAATGTGTCACTTGACCTTATACAAACCCCAAATCAAATCAAGCATTATACCAGCAGTAACTCATGTTTTAAAGTTTATATTGGCTGGAGAAATAGTCCAGCAGGTGAGGTGCGGGTCTTAAATGTGGCAGACCAATGGGTACAATCCCCAGCACCCCATATGATCCTTTGAGTCATTCGTTGAGTCGTGAGTACAACGCCAGGACTAAATCCTGAGCACATTCCATTGTGGTCCCAAAACTAAAAAATATACAAGCAAACTAAAAATTTATCTATGTATTGCAGATACATCGCATCATACAATTAGTTAAGTTCCAGGTGCATCATTGAATATCAAGTGTTTCTCCTGCCTGAATTGCACCCATGTAAACTGGTCACTAATGATCCTCAGAATCCGAAAATTTGATTTTGTTTTATTTAGTTCTCTCATTTTCCTGTAGTCTTGCACCTGAAGTATCTATGGTGGAGCTTAGTATTAAGACATTGGAGCCAGCACTGGCTCAGTTGTCTGATGCTTTTACAAACATTGAAACGATAAGTCGGATGTATTTGGAATCCTTTAATCTAAGCAAATCTCTTTCTGAATATTTACCATCTTCTATAAGGGTACTTTATAAGATGACTTAGTGTGTCGCGGGAAGGAAGTGTGAGGTGGAATGAAAGGCTGTGATGTGATACAAAGAGAGCGAGCTCATTGGTTGGCAGACTGGAAGCTTAGGAAAGCAGGAGAGAGAGCCAGCTTCTAAGAGGTAGAGAGTGTCAGTATCTGTATACCTTTTTTCTGCTTTTCTTTCATCAGCCTGTGGTGGGGAACCTTCAAGAACATTCATTTATTTTCTTTGCCCTCACCCCTCCATGCCACTATAAGCACTTTCAATCAGGGCTGATTTTGCACCTCATCCGAGGGGGCAACTGTCAGTGTTGTCACAACTTGGTAGAGGATCCAACCCACATCTAGTAGGGAGAATCCTGGGGTGCTCTGAAACATTTGACAGTGCATAGAATAACTCCCCGCCTCAAACCTGGACAGGCTTCTAAGGGTCCAAGTGCAAAGGCTGAGCAGCCTTGGGACACACGCAAACTCACGCTCCCGTTCTGTGAACTGCACTGGTGGTGATGGTGTGGAAGCTGGACTCAGTGCGGGGACCGGAAAAGGCACAGGGTTTAGAGTACGAAGGTCAGAACTGAGGCTGAGCCCATCAATTTCCCCTGAATGCCAGCTGGGGCCAGTCACCCTCGTAGCGGCAGACTCTGCTTTGCCACACAAACAGTGTTTCTCATTGCTCGAGACTCTTAGGACCCCTATTCAGCTTTCAGCTGGAGTCTGCTGGTGGTTGTGAAAGTTCTGAAGGGATGGGGCTGGAGCCATAGCACAGCGGGTAGGGCGTTTGCCTTGCATGTAGCCGACCCCGGTTCGATTCACAGCATCCCATATAGTCCCCCGAGTACCGCCAGGAGTAATTCCTGAGTACATGAGCCAGGAATAACCCCTGTGCAACGCCGGGTGTGACCCCAAAAAGGACAAAAAAAAGAAAGTTCTGAAGGGAAAGGTTGCTGTGGTTCAGGAGCTGGAGGACAGGTACATTTCCCTACTACCCTGACCTCTACCTTGCTCTTTGGGCTGGCGTCCCCCCAAAGTGACTGCATCCAGGGGGGAGGGTGTGCCTTCCCTCCCCCATACAGCTTTTCACAGGACTCTAATACCCGGAAACATTTGGCATCCCTTTCACAAGCACAGTTGAAAATTTCTGTTCTTGTATTAAAAAAAGGATGAAAGAAATGTGGGCCAACATAGCTTCTCCTGAAGAGAGTGACCCTCAGGATTGGGGTAGAACCTAGGATGCGTGAACAGCACATAAGCTATCAGGGTACAATTATCTTCATAGCTTTGTTTTTAAACTCAGGTAATTTAATGCTTCTCTTTGTTCCTGCTTTTCAGAGTCCCCTCTATAAATAAGCCAATTATAGGCAGCTCACAAAAAAGTGGGAAAATGTGCTATAAATATTTGAAAAGACACTCAACATCATATTCATTAAAGATACAGCAACTAAAAAGCTAATCACCAACGATTTTGTTTCCTCTTTGGCATGATTCTAAAAGTCGGATAATATATTTTCTGAGGAAACAGTCATCCATGTTGTTGTAAGAGTCTAATTGTTGTAAGACATTTTACAAGGCAGTTGGTCAATAACTAAGCTTTTAGAGGCCCAACCGTTTTACTTCTAAGACTGTATCTCACAGTTAGATAGCTGTAATCATTAAGGTAGACTAAACACTTCATGCCTCAATAGTAGAAGGCCACTGTGCAGTCGCCTCAGGAGTGTGGGCTCTCCTCCGTAGTCAGAGACCTAAACTCCTCACATCCTGACTTATGCCTCTTCTGTATCCAATTAGTCAGGAGATACACAATAAAATTTAAGCCTTTTATGATGACTTATGGGCTTCATTTGTGACTCCTACAGAATGTGAGTTACTTCAAAAGGGAACTCTTGAAGAAATCTTTCGTGGTCGAAATCAGGAAGTGGGAAGGATCGTGTCACTCAGCAGTTTTCCCTGGGAGCCTGAAATTGTCCCCAGGGAGGAAACCACGGACTATCTCCCTGATGGAAAACTTGCTCTTGGTGTAGGCTCTTGGACCAGACTGTGCAACTCTAAATATTGTAATCCTTAACAGCAGAATCAAGAAAACAATGCAAATACTCATCAATGCCTAAGACTTGCATGAACTTTTCATTTATATCAGCAAGAGCCAAAGAGATAGTATAGGATTTGTTTGCCTTGCCTGTTGCCAGCCCTGGTTTAATCCCCAGCACCATATAAATACAGATGGGATGATATGGGTAATCTCTGCACCTCCCGGAGAACCCCAAGCAAACCAAAAAACACCTCAGAATACACTCACAGAGTGCTGTTGTATATCAGCTAGAGTGTTACGCTCAATTAATATTATTTTGATGGCAATTGGATACAGTCAAACTAGAGCTCAGTAAACTGACCTGCTGACCAAACCCAGCTTTCCATTGTAAAGTTCTTCAGAAAGCAGACCACAGCTCATTCATTTACATATTGTCTATGGCTAACTTTAAGTAACAAAGGCAGATCTGAGTAGTGACAGCCCTGATTCTCAGTCTCAAAGTTTACAATATCGCTATTTTTTTTTTTTTGCTTTTTGGGTCACACCTGGCGATGCTCAAGGGTTACTCCTGGCTCATGCACTCAGGAATTACTCCTGGCGGTGCTCAGGGGACCATATGGGATGCTGGGAATCGAACCTGGGTCAGCCATATTGGGTGCGTGCAAGGCAAACGCCCTACCCGCTGTGCTATCGCTCCAGCCCCACAATATGGCTATTTACAGGAGAAAACTGCTGCTGTGTTGTGTAAGGTAAAAGGAAGTTACTAGTTTTTGCCATATCTAATACAGCAGGTTAGTAGGACCACATTATATTGTAAACTAAATATTTAAATCAAGACAAAAATGCATAGTCATGTTTTCTTTAGCGCTTGTGTATGTTTTATTTTGGTTTGTTTTTCTTTGAGTATGTTTGACAATACAGCTGAGGACTTTATCTACTTTGAAAACAGTATCATGGCATTTTCTTAACTGATACTGTAAAAAAATGTGGACAATAGTCTAATAAAAGTGCCCTGACATCTCAAAATTGCTCAATTATACGGCTGCCTCAGAAAATCCCTCACATATCCCTTAGGCAATGGAAAACCCAAGTAAACAACTCAATGAAATCAAGAAAATAAGATTCTTGGTACACTAACAGCGCAGCTGCCATCGATTTGTGATTTAAATGTTGGTTTAAAAAATAAGGGCAACCTGGCGGGCAATTCAACTTGCGTGCTTATGTAACAAACCTGGACAGGAAAGACACTGTCCCATTTCTATGTTATCCTTGCTGGCAGAGTCCAGTGGAGAGATGATGGTCCCAATACTGCCAATCAAGCTTCTTGTGCAAGTCAAAACTATGAAGAAACCTGAAAACCCACAAACTCCATGGTAGATAGAATCAGATAGATAAGAATTCAATACCACCAAATAGGAGTAGTCAAAGAAAAATGTTGGGGCCTGGGGCAGGGGTGAGGAGGAGTAGAATGTGACTTGGTGGGAGGGTGAGACCCTGAGTTCAATTTGCGACACCATGAAAACAAATGAAAAATCCCTGTTCTCCCCTGCCCCCAGCCCCTGGTCACAACACAAAATGGATCATTTCAAACTTAAAGAAAATATCAATGAGCTGAGAAAGAGCTCAACAAATGTCTCTATTTTGGGGGGCTGTTGAACTAGGTATGGCTTCTCTGTGTTCACAACCACTTCCCCAAGGATTGCAGTTTCCTGTAGGGTTATATTGTATTCGTGTTTGAATCTGGAACATCAGATCCTTTCTCCAATTTACCACCAAGCCACAGCAAATCTTGGAGAAGTGAACGAAAGCATGTAGGAATATATCATTAGTCTCCCTTAAAATAAAGTTCCTTCCTTCACTCTTCCAATCCCACTAAGGATCATCAATCACCTTTCTCTCATTTTCCTCAGTATCCCCACTAATAATTTTTGAGCCAACAGTGCTTCCCACTGCTTCACCTTTTATTCCCTAGGCTTCACCAGTTTCTAGCTTTGAT